TGGCCGTCATGGTCTAGCTGGTGGCAGTAAGTACATGGAGATGTTGTTTAATACAATTTTCTTCTTTATTGATTTTTATTATAAAAAAAAATAGAAAAAAAATCTGTTGGGTACGGGAAAGATGGGACTGGCTCCAGGTATAGAGAAGGCGCTCTTGGACAGGTCGGAGCTCTTAGTGTTCACGGTATGAGTCGTAAGCAAACACGAAGTTCTGCTAAAGATGATGGGGACAGATTTGGCAAACCTGGTAAAAATGGATATCGTAAGGGTGGGGATGGTATAGGTAGGGAGGGTAAAGGTACGGATGGTAAAGGTAAGGATGGTAAAGGTGGGGCTGGTAAAGATGGGGATGGTAAAGGTAAGAATAGTAAACGTAGAGATGGTAAAGATGGGGATGATAAAGATGGGACTGGTAAAGGTGGCGATGGTAAAAGCAAGGTGAAGAAAGGGCAGGATAACAAGAGCAGAGTTAAAAAAGATAAGGACGGTAGAAAAGGCAAAAACGGCAAGGGAAACGGTGAAGAAGAAGATGAAAAGGGTAAAGCTGGCGGGGGCAGAAGCAAAAGTGACAAAAGTGGCCAAAGGAAAAGTGGTAACAATGGAAAAAAAAGTGGCAGAAATGGCGAAGGTTGCCGGAAATCACCTCAGAAGGCAACACGATGGGGATCGAAATATGGTATAGGGAAGTTATCATGTAGGGAAGACAACATTGATGATTACTTGCGCGCCAAAATGTTAGAGAAAGATCTATGGTAAGTGTAGATTTGTTATTTCCTTGCTTATATGCATTTCTTAAACTAAAACTCATCCTTAATTAATTGTTAAAGTCGTTGTTTATCTGTATGCCAGCGATCACCGCCCGACTGTTTCTATCCCAGCAATATCCAATGTTGCACGCCAGACTATAATACATCGTGGAATGCTGCCTGCTTATATCCAGCCAGTTACGTTTATTGTCAAGCACCAATGCAAGTTTGTGTGGGAATGCCGTGCTACTAATTTGGTTTTCATAATTGTTTTGTGCGTTGGATACAAGAAAGTGATGAAAAAAATTTAATTTAATGATTTTGGATAAAAATTTTTTCATTTAAATTAGAAAGTGTTTATTTATCTACTTTTTTCAAATATAGATATTTCGATCAAATATGATTAAAGCTCGCGCTGCGAGGGTTTAAGCTAACGCCTCTAGCGACAATCAGAGTAGATCTCCAAGATCTTTTAATTTGACTGAAACACTAAGATCATTTGCGAGCTGATTGCACCTTTTGTCGCCAATTCGCTTATCTAAATGGTTGTCAGTCTGGTAGCTTTCGTTTGCCAATGTTTTTCTGTTGCTTATTATTAATTTTTCTTTTTCTTTTATTCGTTTTCTATTGTCCTTATATGCCTTCTTTTGGTGCGGAAGCTGAAGGTCTGCATATAGCTATAAAGCTATAAATTTCGTGAATCTCCCTTATTTCTCCTAGTACTTTGCAAGATTCTCGTTAAATATTAGATAACGTCTGCAATCATCGCTTCCGCCTAGCTTAAAGCTTCTTCTGTCAATTCCCTGTCCTTGTACTTTGATGTCGAAATTTGTTTACTATACTCAAAGCATTAGCTAATATCGTTTCTGATATCGTTTAAACATTGCACTTTCGATTGCAGAAGCCGGTACGAAAGTCTCATATAGCGCGATATTTTTCTTGATTGTCCAAATCATGCTGAGACTCGCAATGCTTGCCATGAAGCAAACTTTATGGTAAAATAGATATTTATCGCTTTCTTAGCATTATATCGTACATTTTTGAAGCTTTCTCAATAATTTATTATAACATGAAGGCTTCCCATCGTATGCGAAGACTTTATATTGAGTTCGCTTTTGACGTCTTGGATTTTGAGGTGCTGAGCTTCTCACGTAGCGTACGCACGTGATTTTAAGTTTTTTTTGCTTTACTGTTATGTTTGAAAATCGGCTACAACAGCGCATCTAAATGTGCTGAACATTTTCTAATCATATAGAAGCATTTTACTTGTCTTTTAACTATCCCTGACGCATATTGTGCTGACATACCATGTTATACTTGAGGCAATAAGTCGGTGTTTTATCCTTTGCAAGTAATTGCGGCTTAGCGCGGGTTAAGTGCTTAGCAGCCATTGTAGCAGCTTTCTTCCACACGATCAGATGTTGCAGAGTTTTACATGCGGGTTTTCGTTCTTTATATCTCTTCTCTTCTCGTGGCGTAAATATAATGACTCAATATTCGATTTAAGAAAAACTTAAGTTGATGTTCATGGTAGTTCAAAAGAAAGCTATGTATGTTACGTAACGTAAAGATTTTATCAGAAATCTGGGTAGTTCCCATATCATTTTTTTTTCTCCATATCATATGAGAATAATCGTAATGAATGGTTATTTGATTTTTACTTCTGTCATAATTTCTTTCCTATAGAAAATTTGAAGAATTTCAATAAAAATTCGCTTTTTCTGTTTTTCGACTCATTAGAAATAACACAAAAAATTCGTCTAAACACTTTTTTCGAAATCCTTTCCCAACTTAAATCAAAACCAAATTTGTATCAAAATTAAAATTTATGCATTAATATGTACCAATAAAAACTGAAAAAATGGTAAATCAATTAGGTTTATGCGGAAGTAAGCTGTCAGTTTCGGGGTAAGTGAAACAAAAGAAATGAAATTAAAATGATAATAATGTTATTTATTACGATATAATATAGTACGTCGAGCTGCACAGAATATATAAGTCGTCCGTGTCGGCCCAGGTGTCTAGACTCATGTCGGCTAAGGTGCCAAGATCCATGTCGACCAAGGTGTCGAGGTCGGAGTAGTCCATGCCGTTGTAATATTGAGTATAGCAATGATCATTGTCGTTGTTGTAATTATTTTATAAATGATCACACGTACACTATCCTTAAGAAAATATGTCGTCGTTTAGTATGCGACTACAATAAGGCGCAATGTAATGAAAGGTATTCTGTGTTTGATGGTGGGAACAGCATCAGATTAAGGGTACGAAGTCAGGGTCTTCATGATGGTTAGTGCGTGATAATTACGAAAAGTGTATAACTATAATTATTTATAAATGTTTTCAAATTAAAAAAGATTTATGTGAAGAAGGCGTCTCGCGTCGTGCAAAAGGCGATGAAGCTCAAAAGGGTAGGAGGAGTAAAACAGCCGATGACATTGGTCGATTGAAGGGAAGAAAATCAGGTGAATACGATTTGGGGGATGATAAAAGCAAAAGAAGAAGAGGAAAAACTGGCACCGGTGAGGACGATAAGGGTGTTGATGCAGAAGGCAGAAAAAAGAAAAAAAAGGGTGCCAAAGATGATGATGGGGAGGATGAAGATGATATCGGGAAAAAGAAGAAACGAAAAGGTGCTAAAGGTGGGAAGGGTGGAGATGGTGACGAAGACGAAGATGATACAAGTAAAAAGAAAAAACGAAAAGGCGGCAAAGGCGAAAAGGGTCCCGACGATGATGAAGACGGAGATGATTTCGGCGGTAAGAAGAAGCGAAAAGGCGGCAAAGGCGGCAAAGGCGCCGACGAAGACGATGATGATGCCGGTAAAAAGAAGAAAGGCAAAGGCGGAAAAGGCGGTGATGAGGAT